CCCCTGCTTGTGTTCCCTCTCTCACTGTGTCTCTCTCTGTCAAATAAATAAATAAAATCTAAAAAAAACAAAAGAATAACTAAAAGAATGAAAATCAACATTTGTGCCCACTTTCCCACTGTAGCTGGCTTTGAGAGCCTTTTCAATCTAAGGATCCCACTATAACAGAACAATACAGTTAACAGTCACTGCAGGAAAGAAATCTTTATATACCAGTTCTTTTATTCAGAAGGAAATTTTATTCACCTGTATGGCCAATATCAAAGGGTTCCAAATGTCAGTAGTCCATTTTAACCAGAAAAACGAAATAAATGAATAAAAAAAACTCCTGCCTCAGGTATTACTGTGCCCTTGTGGAAGTAAGCATTCATTTATTAATAGAAGAGAAAACAGTCACAGGGATTTGACAATTCAATAAATCCCGGCTGTTTAAGTAAAACCACTAGATCACCTCACAGTACATAATGTGATTATAGGCAGGATTAAGATCAGTGCTCTCAGAAAACCTAATTTATACAACTACATACAAATACCAGATAAATGCCAATTAGTGAAATTTGCCTCTACACTAATTTCAATATGGCAGCAGACGCTGGAGAGAGATGTAACTTGGAGTAGCTAATCAAAAGCAATGTGGTAAAAAAAAAAAAAAAAGCAACGTGAGAGAAAGAAAATCAATTATTTCTTCTGTGAAAAAAAAAAAATCTTATTTCCATCATCTACATTCTCCAAAGAGTTTACCTGAGAGCACCACACAGTTTCCAACCAGCAAGTCAAAATCTACAACACTGGTTGACCAAAACCCAAGTGGTCTACATCTCAGGAAGCTGAGCACAGTTTCAATCTTAGCATTCACCTGCCCTATGCATGGATGTATGGACATTTTCCTTCAGCTCCAAGTACCAAAGCATGACCTTACGAACATAGAACTCATACTTGGGGCACCCTAAAGTAGGAAAAATCTCCTACATCCAAACAGAGCCGCTATGTTCACTTTCTCCATTAAACAGAAAGATTCCCTCAGAGGTAATCCACCAACCTTCTCTAAGGTATGTCTATCCTCATTCCACCCATGCTATTTTTCACTAAGAGTCACAAGAATACTCCCCTTTACCATCCCTTCCATATCTCATTCCCGGAGTCTGTTGTAACCAATTTTAAAATTGTAAAGAATTTGGAAGAAGGGGGACGCCTGGGTGGCTCAGTCGGTTAAGCATCTGCCTTCAGCTCAGGTCATGATCCCAGGGTTCTGGGATCAAATCCCACATGAGGCTCCTTGCTCAGAGGGGAGCCTGCTTCTCCCTCTGCCTATTTCTCCCTGTGCTGCTCCCCCTGCTTGTGCTCATGCTCTCTCTCTCCCTCTCTCTGACAAATAAATACAATCTTTAAAAAATAATAATAGTAATAGTAATAATTTTGAAGGAGAACTTGGCAAACCAAAAAACAAACAAACAAAACCAGTTCAAAATCATTTCTACAGTGACCTGAAACAGAAGGAGTGCCTATATGCAGCTGGGAACAGTATCTGAATAGAACTCAAGTGCAAAGTTGAATACAGACCTGGTTTGTAGATTGATGGATCTTTTCTGAAAAACCATTTTCCTTCAGGACTGCAGCAATAAGATGACCCACCGCCTTAAAAAAAAAAAAAAAAAATCAATAAATACATGGCATCAGAAGTTCTCTCCAATTAGTGCATTTGAAGGTAACTCCTGTCAATACTAGTTGATATAAAAAAAAAAAAAAAACGAGGTGATAGGAGTATGAGTGTGCCAGCCAGTCAAGTCATAATAAAATTCCCACTCATCTGAGAGTGTGCTCTGTGGAAGGCACTGAATTAGGCATTCTACGTACATAATTTCTTAGCTTCCTAACAACTCTCAAGGTAAGCATTTTTATTCCAATAAGCAATCTACAGTTCATAGATATTAAGAAAATTGCCAGATTTTCAGTTCAAATCGCTGTCACTTAGTATTAGAAGATAATGTGAGATTGCTTCATCAATTAAACCGTGAGACAAATGAGAAACTCCACAGCTTTTAAAATCATTTTTGCATCTAAATGCAATCCATCATGCTTCATCATGTCCTTAATGAAGATGGAGAAAACTCATCCCCATCTTTATGACCACGGCCCATACAGAACTGAACCAATAGGTCTCCCCCTACCACAACCATTCTCTCTCGTTTAGGCTCTATGATTTAATTTCTTTATTATTTTCTCATAGGTTTTAGCCCTTGCATAAGCTTTTAGTCTCATAAATCTCTGAAACGTTCCCATATCCTGCTTTGGTCAAAAGGCCAAAAAGGTTAAATCTAAGACTCTATTTATAAAGGAGTGTTGATAACATAAATACATATGTATCGTTCTTTCCTACCACCTCAACTCCATTCTCCTGGTTCTGCACCACTCCCCAGCACTGCTCTGCTGTTTTAGAGCTGTAGGCTAGCAACAATGATAGCCATCCTGCGCAGGGGCTGGGAAAAACTCTCTAACTGCAGCAAGTGTTGATCCTGCACTTGGACCAACGTATGATACAACTGTGAATCCTGTCAGTCTTGTAGTCTCCAGAAAAGGTCACACAAAAACACAGCACCTCCTCCTTTGTTTTTGTATTTCACACACTGGAAATGATTTAAGACCTCAATGCTTGATGATCTCAGTTTTATAATATAAATCACGCATTTACATGAATATTAAGTTTCGATCAATTAACTGTCTCTTACCTCCTAGTTTAAGGGACAGTAACAAGAATTAAGACCAGTGAACAGTTTTGGTGCCTGTTTACAAAATATACCATATTTCATTGAATGCAACTGGCCATCAACTGCAAGATGCACCATTATTTTATTTCTACCTCTAAGGAAGAAAGGCTGCCCATTTATCTGTTACATAATGCGCCTTATAATTTCAAATTTTGATTTTATATTAGTGAAAGAGTTCCTTTAGAAAATCCCAGCCAAGTTCACATGCAGGCAATACCAGCTGTGTAAAAACTACTGCCACGAGTTACTAGATGCGACCCAATTTCAAAGATGCTAAAATGTGAAAAAGTGTGTGTGAATCAATGAAATATGGTGCTAACACTGAGCAATGGTTACAAAAGAACAATAAGAAGTATTCACAGAGAACAAGGGACAGTTGCAAGAACCAAATAAAACCAGTATGACACATAACAGGGACAAAAAAAAAAAAAAAAGAAACAACAACTCCCGTTCATATTTAGAAAAAAAGACTAAAAGAAGATCAGCTTACTGACAAACATCCCCCCACCAGGTCCAACTTCTCCAGTTTGCCTTTCTATGTATCCTTCTAACAAATCAGAGAATAGAGGCTAAATTGATTTTAAAGTACAAAATCCAAGGATAAATGACCCTATATTGCTACTTAAGTTTTCCACAATAGTCGAAAGACACATCCTCCATGAAACAATACATGTACACTTCTCATTTAACAGTAAAACACATAGGCATTTCTCGGTTATCTACGCTAATGAAGGGACTCCAAGCACAGAAAAATAGAAACTGTGGACGGTATCCTCCAAGCCTTCATCTTCCTCTTCATGGTAAGGACCTGTGCTGCACAGGATAGGACTCCAACCCAGTCAGGTAGAAGGGAATCTTGCATAAGGAGTGTTCTACTCCTCATGGAAGGGTTCCCCACTACCCAGCTAAGTCAATTCCCACAGCAGGCATCTCCGGAGAAAACTGCTGAAAGCATCCAAGACGCTGTACGTCGTTCGGTCTTCGGGCCGGCTTCTGCTGGTCCCCTGGCTTCACTCTCACAAGAAAAGACAGTAAGCTATTAGGGTACCTTGACTAACTAGAATGCTTCCAGTTAGGGGAAGGCTAACCAGAAAACCACCTTTGTTTGAACCCTAATAACTGAAAAGCTCTCTAAAATAAATTATCACCAACCCCTGCCTGTGTTAGGATAGACATCAAATTTTTTAATCCAGGACATTTTACTTACTGAATGTTAGGTATTATGGTCAAAATCTCTTATTCTTAATAACTGTACAGGGGTAAAATATACCTTTTAAATGTCAATCTCTCATACTCCGTAGATGTACAGCCATTTACTTCTATTCCCAAAAATTCATTATAGACTTAAAAAAAAAAAAATACAGATCCAGGGTCCTCCTAGTTAATCAAGGTTTTATTACGTCTAAGAAAAGTATGATATAAATCGAAACTGAGATTGGGGGGCACCTGGGTGGCTCAGTTGGTTAAGCATCTGCCTTCGGCTCAGGTCATAATCTCAGGGTCCTTTACTGAGCCCCACGTCGGGCACTCTGCTCAGCAGGGAGTCTGCTTCTCTCTCTATGCTCTCCCTCTCCCTCTTTCTCTCGCTCTTAAATAAATAAAATCTTAAAAAAAAAAAAAAAGCTGAGATTGGTCAATTTCAAATATTCACCTTCCTATGTCACATATAAATTTTCAGGGTTTTTTAATTTAATTTTTTAAAAATAATCTCTACAAGATATGAGGGCACTTGGGTGGCTCAGTCGGTTAAGCACCCAACTCTTGGTTCCCGCTCAGGTCATGATCTCACGGTTATGGGACCAAGTCCCATGTCGGGCTCTGTGCTCAGTGCAGAGTCTGCTTCAGATTCTCTGTCCCTCTCCCTCTTCCTCACTCTCTCTCAAATAAATAAAATCTTTAAAAAATAATAAAATAAAAATAAAGTAGGGCGCCTGGGTGGCTCAGTT